CGGCATTCCCGCCTCCCTAAGCCAAAGACACATTGAGAACGTTCCTACATCTCATTGAATGATGCCATACATTAAACTACTTCCTGTGTCTTGACTGCCTTTGAGCCTCCTTCACCTGCAAGCCTGCAAATCCTGAGTGAATATTCAAATAGCATCTTTATTTAGTGTTTGCATACTCCATCCTGTAATGTTCTGAGGCTCATATTTTGAGCTGAGCAGTTTCTATTGGGAGTGTTTTCTTATATTGTAGGTCTGTCTGAATGATTGTATTGCCCAGTGATCTTAGTAAGTAAGCAAATACTGAAGTCTGATGTGACCACGAATACCAGAATGCTGCACTATGTATTTGAGGATGGCAGGAATAATTTCTTACCTCTAAGTTATTAGACAATGAAATTACTTTTTGGTTTAACTTCTTGTTTCTGAGTACTCGTTAGGTTAGAGTGGTGGAAATTAGGCTTAGTAGCAGATGTTTTATTGGCCATAATTCTGACTCTGTATTCCAGAGGCCTATGCAAAAATCCTTGTATTTATCATTATCTCAAGACTGACCTATTTAATGTTATTTAATCTGATGGGATGGGAGGGTTGTGTTGTTTTGTTTTGCTGTAATCTGAAGTTGCTCTGTTCTTTATTTATCCCATTTTCACGGTTCACAGACAATAAGGAGATTTCACAGGGTGAAATGAACCTTCTCAAATATCATTTGTTACAAGACTGTGGTATGTTTTTATTGTGTTGAATAGACACATTGCCAGGTAGATTCTTGAAACGCAGTGCTAAGGATACTTGTGCAAAACCTTCCAATACGAGCTCTCATTAAGTGGTAAGTAGGGAGCCTCTGGGAATGAGGGGTCCATAACACCTGTGTCAACATTGCACAACATACATTTTAATTAATGATTTTTAACTTTTATTATACTACTTGTATTTATTGATTTCTGTTTAATATTGAAAGACTCTGAAGTACCTGACTTGAAATTTTGCACAAACTTTGCCATATGTGTAAGCATTTGAAGCTATTTTACAGAATAAAACTTGTATTAAAAAGCAACTATTTTTAAAACAAAAGAATGAATTAACCCCACTTATTTGCTTTGAACAATCCTATTATATCCTAATCCAGAGCTGGTACTCTTAAGAGTTTTTCAGAGATGTGTATTTTGGTTTTTGGTTTTTTCTAAGTTTTTTTGTGTGTAATTTCTAAAGAAGTGCATGATAACTGGGAAGGAGCTTTTTGGGGAAACAAAGACAAAAAAAAACAACAAAACCCAAAACCAAACCAAAACAAAAAGCCACCAAACATTTTCTGCTCTCTAGAAGTAGTATTTTTTTCTCAAAGTGAGATCTGGAAGTACGAGCCCATCATGGTGTAACTGTGGGACCATGACATGTGTGCCGTGAGATAAATATGTGATTATCCAGTAAAGCTTTCCAGAAACTTATGTCCTATCTCAGTTCTTCCCTTTTTTCCCACCACTGTCTCTTGGATGTTACTATTTGGGGTTTTTTTCTCTCCTTGAATTGGTTTTAAAATCAGCAGCAGAAAGCTGTTAAAATTACTTTGCTCAAATTCTGTTCTGAAGAGCATATAATGTCAGTAAAATGAAATGTAGTAATAGTTCGTTCTAGGCTTGGCTATAGGACATTGACATTACAGTATTTTCTTTGAGAGAATTAAAGTGAGTAGGTACAGACATTTCATAAATAGATTCAATAATCAACTTTTGTAATATAAGCTCTATAATTACGGGTATCCTGATGAATACCTTGAAAAGGAAAAAAAATTAAATCTCACCTGATTTTTTTGGTAGGTAGACAATGTCCAAGAAAGTTTTTGGATTTATCACACTAAATTATTTTAACTGACAATGAAGTGGCAAAATTAAAAGCTTGGGGAAAAATGGTTAGGGGGGAGGTTCTATTTCAGAAATGCTTGTATCAATCTGAAGTAAGACACCTGCAGGGCTTCCTGTTAACTGCGGTGGAGACAATGTAAGCAAGAAGTAAGAAGGTAACATTAAGTGTTACAGTTGATAGAAGGTGACAATAGTTACAGTTCAAGATTGCTGTAACAATTACTTTCCAGGAAAAAATGTTTCTTTCCTTGAAAAGCATTGAATGAAGTGGCCCTCAGTGTTAGCATTTGCTTTTGTTAAATTAAAAAAAAAAATCAACAAACAAAACTGACTTTTTATATTCCCCAAAACTAGCTCCTGGCAGCTAACTGTGTTTCTCAGGAGTTTTAAAAACTGCTGAGGGAATGATCAGGTTCCTGGTTTCTTTTCTGGTCCATATTGATTTCTATGGAAGGTTTGTGGGTTTTTTTAAGTTTACGTTCCTTGAAAGGAAACTCATGTTATTTTTAGTTGTATATGATTTTGTGTAAAAATCTGTTTTTCACTTAATGCTATTGACAGAGATATTTCATCATGAGTTCTTTTACTTCTTATTCTGGAGGTATGACTAGCCTGATGTAGTGATGTTAAATTTTTTTATGTTTACATTTAAAATTATAGATATCTATCTGCACCTTTACTGAAAATTAAGGAACGAAGCAAAGAGTTGATCAGGGTTTTCATAAGAAAGAAGATAGTACTTAATTATTTTTTCCTAGAAGAACAAAAATATATTCTGTGGGGTTATTTTTTGTGTGGAAGGAGCATAACTGGGTTATATTCTTTGTTCTAGCAGTTCCCCATTTTCTTCTGACAGAGTAGTGTGACATTGAGCTGGAGACAGCAAGATTTGCCTATGGGTAAGACAGATGCTAGCCTGAATTGTGTTTGTATTCAGCTGCTAACCCCGCATCCCTCTAAAGACAACAAGGTCTTTTGGCTCTTCAGACTTTACCAAGGAAGGTTCAAGTTGCATGTATAGCAAGTCCAGAGTATGGGCAAAGCCTGTCAGTAGATGGGCAACTGAAGAGAAGCAGTGAAGTGAAGGTTGAAGCTTCACTTCAGTGCAGGACAGGGCTGGAGGGGAGAAGGATAAAAGGGCACTGTATAGAGCTTGGCAAAGGGAAGTAAGTAAGTGTTTTCAGGTAATGTGTCTACCTTATGGAAGGTGCAGATTTTTCATGAGTACTGGTGCAAATTATCATATATGCGTAAATTAAAGGTTTTGATATCTTCAGGGGTTTTTTTAGGTTTCTAAAACTGGTTTATTGCCATTTTTTTGGTTTTGATTTCTCGTTCTTTTGTGCAATATTCACAGAAGTATTAAACTACTGTTCAGTATGTGTGTACAGAGGCAATTATGTGTTTTAAAAAGTGAATAAACACACACACACAAAAAAACAAAACCACCCAGAATTGCACTTTAAATGAGCTTTATTGCTTGGATTTGTGCCTAAAATAATCTAAATGCCTCCTGCTGTGTGTGGCTTTTGTTGGAAACTCATTTTCCTGGTAGTGTTGCTGTTTCCAAGGTTTCTTCACATCACTTTCACAGAATCAATATGCACTCTAGCTTGTTTAATAAGTACTCATACAGCATACTCAGTTTTCATTGTGCAATGACTTTAACTGTGGAATTTTAACACTGATGATTCAGAGAGATTATCCTGTAGCTAGCACTTCCTACTGCCAATCAAGGACAATGGCAAAACTTCCCTAGGACTAGTATAGCCCTCAAAGAATAATTTTCCCAGTATATGTTTTTGTTTGAGAAACAAAGTGCAATATTATCTTTCAGACTTTCTGGAAATAATCAAAAAGGCCCTGAAAATCCAAAACAGCCCTAACTTTTTCATACAGTTACAAAAAAAGTGGGTTCCTCAACTTTATATCTCATAGCAGTGAGACTAGATGTAACAACTAGACTGCATCATAGGTCAGTAAAATTAATTTCATTCTTGGATCTAATTGCTAATTTGTTGTAATGATGCTAGAAAACCGAATGCCATTTGCGTGATTTACTTTAGTTGCATGTCACAACCATATGCACATTCTGAAGTGTCATGCATACTTGGGTAGGTTGCATGTTGGGGGGGAGGTATTTCTGTTTTTGCACAGCACATAATCCTCTTAATATGGACATTTTCTCGTGATACAAATGGAAGTCTGTTCCTGAATTAGGATTGCGTAGCTATTCCTTATCTTGTTATAGTGGCTTTTTTCTGAGCAGAGTGGATTTAATACATGATCCTGGTGGTAGGTTTCAGTATAGTAATCTTTACAACTATGCCATCAAGGAAACAGTCACTGTTGTGGTAAAGCTGCTCACTGCCTACGTAATTATAAAAGCACCACAATAAAACCAGTATATTTCCAGTGTCAGTGAAATCTTAAATTCACTACTGGCTAAAACAAGAGGTACCCTT